GTTTTCTGCTCATTTGTTCTGTGTTTTCTGTAAATGTTCAGCCTAGTGCTTCTGTACAATGGTTTCCATGCTAGTCTATTATTGTGATTTAGAAACCCTTTCCTAAATGGCTCACAAACAAACAAACATACATGCATACATACATATATTTTTTTTTCCCCAAATATATTTAAAAATATACAAAATGCCAAAACATGTTTCGAAATATATTTATATATATATTCTCTACCAATATTTTTTTTTTGTATATTGAAAATATATTTTAAAAATATAAATACATTTTTAAATGCATTTAAACATATAGTTAACCTTCCATAAATTTAAATCCAAGAAAATACATTCACATGTCACATTTAAAGAAAAAATGTATATGTTGTCCACAAAACGTGTAAATATATAGCGCATTTGAATAAATTCAACAATTCCATCCACATTAGCAAATTTGTAGGCTATTGTAAGAATGAAAATTAATTTTCTTGCCTCTGAAATACATTTTGAAATATATATTGGTATATTAAAGTGGAATTCAATATATGTTCTGTTTCAAAAACATATTTTATTGAGCTTCATATTTAAAATATATTTTGGCCAGATAAAAATATTTTTGGGGTTCTATGGAGAGTTCTTGATTGAAATAAGCTGCAAAGTGGTTGAAAATATTATGTTGAGAGTCGGTGGTCTAGCTGTGCAAGACTACATATGGATTAACATGCAGAATGACTGCAATGAAATGAGGTAGTAAAGAAGCACAGGGCCTGACACACAGCGAGAGCACAGAGATAGTGAGACGATTGTGTTTGTTATGGCTGTGGAGGGTGTGACTGTAAAGCAGTTGTGCTACTGGCTCTCAGTCTGCAAGAACATACACAAACTCACACTTTCAGTTTTGCTGTAGACGGAACTGTTAAAGAACACCAGATATGATTTACATAAGCAGCTGAGAAATTAATGCTGCAAATTAATGAGAGTTAGTTGACAAGTAGTTGCAAATTTTTTATAGTTAGTAGAATGTCTAATGTGGATTATAAAAATAAAGTGTAACCGATTATTTAAATGTAAGTAAATGAGTCATGCTCTTTGGATCTCAAATCATGCTGGAGGACATGATTATCAGGTTTGGTTGATACAGCTGTCATCAAAACAAAATAGATACAATAAATACTAAAACATTCTGAAAATTCTTTTTTTTTTTAGTCAAGTTGTTGTGAAAATATTGCAGGAGAAGTCTCATATTTTTGGAGCCCTTTGCATATTACTTACAGGAATTGTTCACCCCAAAAAATGCTGAAAATGTACTCTCAGGCCATCCAAGATGTAGATGATTCATCATAACAGATTTGGATAAATTTAGCATTCCATCACTTGCTCACCAATGGATCCTCTGCAGTGAATGGGTGCCATCAGAATGAGTCCAAACAGCTGATAAAAACATCACAATAATCCACAAGTAATCCACAACACTCCAGTCCATCAGTTAATGTCTTGTGAAGTGAAAAGCTTTGTGTTTGTAAGAAACAAATCCATCATTAAGATGTTTCACTTTTGGCCAAAACACAAGTCCATAATCCATAATAACACATCTTCCAGTGAAAAAGTCCATCTCCTCTTGTCTTCTCACATCAAAATCCACCTGCATATTTGTTTAGAGCTGTTTTGGACGGTTGTCTCTTGTAAACAGTGCTTGATCTATGCACATTTCTCTCCTGATTAAGATGAGACTTTTTCTCTGTAGAAAGCAATATTTTGTATAGAATGCATATTATAGCTGGAAGCAACTTTTTGAAGTAGAAAAAAACATGTCTTTATGGATATTTTTTCTTACAAACACACAGCTTTTCACTTCACAAGATGTCAACTGATGGACTGGAGTTGTGTGGATTATTGTGATGTTTTTATCAGCTGTTTGGACTCTCATTCTGACGGCACCCATTCACTACAGAGGATCCATTGGTGAATTTCTCCAAATCTGTTCTGATGAAGAAACAAACTCATCCACGTCTTAGATGGCCTGGGTGAATAGATTTTTAGCAAATTTTCATTTTTGGGTGAACTATTCCTTTAAAGAATATGAGTGGAGTGTGTGATAGAGTGTGTGTGTGTGTGTGTGTCTGTGTGTGTGTGACAGAGAGAGAGAGCAGATGATTAGACTGCAGCTGGCACACTGACCCACTAACACTGCAGCTCTCACATCCATACTACAGCTGTCTCTCCCTCTCTTACACACACATATCGACACACTCCGTTTTTCTCTCTAAAGGTTCCTCCCCTCCACCTCCATCCATCTATTCTAATTTAAACTCTATTCTAAAGAACAGTCCACACACACACACACACACACACACACACACACACACTTCACTTAGTCATGAATGAGTGGTAAGAATCTGTCTACATTAGCACTGTTTAAAATTAATTAAATAATTTAAAAATAAATTTAGTTACATAACTAGTTCAGCCCAAAAAGGACTGCCTTTGACTATATTCTTAGTCAGACCAAAAATTAAGTTCATATTTACCAAACATCTCCCATTTGCTGAATGAATTACATAAAAAACAGTGATTTTAAATTGTAATAATATTTCACAATTTTGCCAATTTTACTGTATTTTTGGTCCCCAAAAAAAAAATGCAGCATTGGTGAGCAAAAACGACAAAACATTAAAAATGCCAACCCCAAACTTTTGCACATAGCGTATCTGACCTAGTTCTTCTTTATTATCTCACTGTGACTGGATGGGTCAAATTTCTCAACATCAAGTAGATGTTATTAAGCTGCATAAACGTAAGTCGTATTTTGGGTTCACAATATGTTCTGTGTAAGTTCATGTCATTTTTTTCTATAAAATTTCCCTGTAATTTAGCAAGGAATCATTTCCTTCTCTCTCTTCTGAGGAACACACAAAATCCATTCTAGAGGATTTTGTTCCACCTATCCCCTCAGTTTCCCCGTCCACCCACCAGGCCATGGGGGTGAATTACTCAGCAGCCCCGGAGCTCATTTCCCTGTGTGAAGATCATGGTGTGCTGTATGACAGCAGGGATCTTTGGGTGGCTAACACATTCCTGACATACCGGAGGCGGGGGGTCGGGGCACTGCATGTCATCCTTACAGCACTGGGTGGGGCATAAAAACCATGTGGCATTCCAGCACTTGTGCTGCTACAGGAATGTTCCGGGTTCAGGACAAGTTAAGCTCTATCAACAGTGTCTGTGATACAATATTGATTAGCACAGAAAGAACGTCGTCTCCCTCAGAGCCTAAGCAGATGCTGATATTCATATGGCCAAAAAAATAAGATGACATTCTGATAGCTTTTAATGTAAATCAATGAGATCTTTATAACAGTAGCACTTTACAGACTATTTACATAAAATGCATATAAATATTAGTTGTCTCTCTATATCTCCAAATAATATGTCTTAGTAAGATGATATTTAAATGCTTAGTTTATGATCAACGTGCGGTAATTTCTAAACATATAATGCAATGCAATACACTGATTATTGAGACATGAACAAGTAAACGTTCCTCAAAAGCCTGATGGATCATATTTCATACATTTTAACATGATTTTTCTAAAAAAATATATTTATGGTTTCTTCGGTCTAGTAAATGTTCATCTTGAAATCTTACGAACAACATAAATGTTATTCTCATGTTTAATTTATAAAAACAAGTAAAGATTTAACAGCAAAAAGATGTGTACCACAACCTGCAGGTGGATGTTTTTAAAATTATACTGAAAGACCTTTTACTTGTACTAAGGTTTTGTAAAAAATTAAAATGGCTCATTCCTGTAATACTGTATTTGATATTTCTATAAAACTGTAGAGCAGACATTGAGAAATATGCTATGGTCCAGCTCAGGCAATTTAATTACAGCCCGACTATTTACACAACGGCAAGAAAATGAACAGAATGGAAACAGAGAGCTAACATTATAGCCATTGCTCAGTGAGGGACTGAGAGTTTAACTATCTTTTGAAATGTTGACATTATCAAACCAATTTTACTTTAAATTTACAGGATGCTTCTGCAAACCAACTAACACCAAACAGCTAACAAAACATCACAGAATCCTTTAAATGCATTGCTAATACTCACTAATGCTTGTGCTGATGTTTTCCCTCCAAAATTATGTCACTTCCTGTGTGATGATGCCATCACAGAACTGGCTTTAGTTAAAGGGATCAGTTCACAAAAGACTAAAAGGATGGGAAATGATAAGTGAAAAACTTAGAAATCTATTAACAATTACAACAAAAGTTTCAAGAAATCATGTTTAGTTTAAAGCATTTTGACGAGAAATTCAATGAGATCTTTATACTTACATAACACATAATAAATATCAGTTGTCTGCAGTTCCCAATAATATATTTAAATGCTTACTTCTATGATCAAAGCTCTGTAGGTTCAGAACACATAATGCAATGCAATACACTGATGATTGAGAGATGAACAAATAAACATTCCCTGAAGGTCTGATGTATCATATTTGATACATTTTAACATGATTTTTTCCAAAAAATTATGTATGGATAATCAAGTAAACCTGAGTTTAAACATGTTTAGTCTGAAACGTTTTGCCTAGATAAAGCAAAAATGAGGAAACTTTCTTAATTGCCAGTTTTTCATGTTAGACATTACTGCAGACATGACAAAAATGAAATCCTTATCCCAAAGTAATTAAATTATTTAAAACGCACTCCTATGTTCGCTTCAATTAATTCCTTCACTTGTTTTATATTTCATCAGATATTAAGACATATGAAGAGGATGTGGAAGTTTACTTTTCAAATCATCAATAAAATCCTTAATATTAGTAGTCCATCCATCCAGAGTTGTAAAGCTTCAGATCCAGTAATCTACTGGAGTGTATGTAGTGGTGTGTTTGAATGGGGCAGATGAAGCTCCAGCCCTCTTGTGCAGATTGGGCGGCGTAGCTGCTGGGTGGAGTCACACAGACAAATACTCACACTTGTAGCTGTGAAACTCTTAGTCTGTTCTCCCCGCAGAGTCGTGTGGATTTACTACCAGAAAGCAGCCTTTATTTGTGTCTGCTGAGCACAGCACATTAAAAAACACGCCAGGAATCTAAACGCTCGCTTACTGTCTCTACAGTGTGGGTTTGAATTTAAGGACCCTCAGGGTTTTTTCTGCCTTTATTTTCATTTTTAACTCTTTGAAGGAGACACAAAGGAGGGATGGGTGCTCAGTTGACTAAAGGTGAAGCTACAGTGGACGGAAAAGCCGTGGCTGATAAAGCCAATGGCCAGGTGAGGATCTACAAGCACTTTTATGATTGAACTACCAGTGTTTTGATATATCGGAATGGGATCTTATCTCTCTCTCTCTCTCTCTCTCTCTCTCTCTCTATATATATATATATATATGCCTTTTCATAATCCCATTTATCTAACAATTAACTTTTTACAAATTGGTTATGGCTACTATATCATCAGTTCTCAAGGATGATTTTGTGTTGAACCTTTTTCTAATTTTGAGGGTTTAAGTTGGAAAATCTGTTTCAAACCTCTCTCTCTCTTATTTCTTTTTTAAAATAGGTCTTTTCCAAACACATTTTAGTTAGTTTAGTTAGTTATCAAGCACTCTGTGGTCGTGTGTTGGCACTGAAACTGGCAGTAACCCGAATTTGAGAACAAAAGGTTGCAGAGCTGCATGCAAATGATGCAGAGCGCTTCTGCTGATCTGCAAACAATGCAATGCATGCGTGAGTGTCTGTCTGTGTGTGTGAATGCATGGACCATTCCTTTGGTACTTCATTAATAATCATTCCACCCATCCCCCTTAATGCATATGCGCCCTTCCCCCTCCATATGCAAGACGAGAGCTCTTTTCTTTATTAATCAACTCAATGCATTATTTTGCATATCTTTATGCATGTGATTTAAACACCCCAGTACTTGAACAGAGCAAGTTACCGTAACTCAAGGCTACAGTGCCCGGTTGATAGATCATCTGAATGATTAGTTGTCCGAATTTCTGAAATTCAAGAAAAAAGGTGTTTTAGAGGGAGGTGTTGTTTTAAACACCGTTCTAGGGTTGCTGTCTCCCTTTTCTTTGTTCTCTCTGGTAGTGGTTGGTTTTCTAACCAGTGGATTATATTTAGTAGATCAATATCGCCTCTGGTGGACGTAGTGTGTAATTACTATGCACTCCTGCTTTTGGGTTTCTGGGTGTTGCTTCTGTCTTTAACGTAATTAAATATAGCAATCCTCAGAGTCTTAATTTAAGGTTTAGGCACTACAGTGATGAGCAGGCTGAGCTTTAAATCTCAATTCTTCTAATATTGCTGTATTTTGAGGTTTACATAATACTGGGATTTTTTTTTAAACTAGTGATTTTAATATTTATTTATAAACAAAAATAGAGGTACATATCAATTAAAGGAATTAAAAGTAGTCTATTTGGTTTTGGATCCAAATGAGTGGTATATGCTGTGAAAATATGGCTAACATATTGTGCTATAAACTATACTATGAAAGCAAGCATTTAATATTTACTATGACTATAAAAACAAGCATTTACAAGCATAACCCCTTTGCTTTTCTGCTGACTGTGTGTGTGCCAGCATGCATTTTGGCTTATCTTCTCTCATTCTGCTTTTCTCTTCAGGAAAATGGCCATGTGAAAACCAATGGCGACGTATCCACCAAGCCAGATGGAGAAGCCGTGGCAGCAGACGGAAATGGAACCGCGGAGGTTGCCAAGGAGGAGGCCGCCAAGACGGAGGAGGGAGATGGCATCGAAGCCGCTCCTGCTACCGAAGGTGACGCCGCCAAATCTGATGGCGAAGCTGCAAAGGAAACCAAGAAGAAAAAGAAATTCTCACTGAAGAACTCCTTCAAATTCAAGGGCATTTCCCTGAAAAAGAACAAGAAGGGAAGCGAAGGAAGAGCAGCAGATGGAAGAGTGTGGCTCCCTATTCACAGACTTTTCAGTCATTTGTCTCTTTAAACTTCATCCGATCCTTGATTTTTCAGGGCTGATGAGTGAAATGACAAATTGTCCTCTTAGGAGATGGTTACGGGACGATGTAAAACTACAAATAAATAAAAAAAAAAAACTTTTTTAATAGTGTTTAAATAGCTCTACATTCCAATTTTTTGGCCCTGAAGGGTGCCAGAAGATCTGGGCTAGTGAATAGGTTTTAGTCTTAGTCTGTTTTTAATGATGTTTTACAGTTTTAATCAGATCCAGCTACACATTTCAAAGTTTGTGACAAAGGGGAGTTAAACCACTGCTTTTATTAAATATATATTTTTGTTCTGTTAAGTCTCTGTACATACATTTTCTGACTCTTTATTTTGCTAACATTTCCAGGTGTTAATAAGATGTTGTACGATTAGTCCAAATAAATGTTTGACCGACCCCCGTGTTTGTTTGTTTTTCTGAATTTTTTTTTTTTTTTTTTTGTAAGAACATTATTTAAACAATATCAAATAACTTCATCTGCACAAAGAACATCTTATATTAATATTGCATATTGTAAAAATTATGCATGTTTAGCTGACATTCAAATTCAGACAAAAAGACCTTTTAAATTCAGACAAAAAAATGATGAACTGTCTAATCTGATTGGGAATGTAAATTCACATTAAGAAACTAAAAGGCGAGGTTTTGCAGGGCAATTCATTCCATCACATCAATAAAGGCAAAGTTTACCCAAAAATGTAAAATATGTCTTAATATACTCACCCCAGTATTGTATGCATTTCTTTCTTCCGTGGAACACAAACAAAGATAAAAGGTGTTTCTCACTGTTTTTTGTTCATAAAAAACAGTTAGTGAGGTCCAACATTATTTAAAATATCTTCTCGTGTTCCACAGGAGCAAGTGTCACAGGTTTAAATGTAATCAATAATATGGTAATTGCAATAATTCATTCCATTTATAAAGCGCTTTTCTAGGCACTCAAAGCGCTCTACATTGTCAGGGGGTATTTCCTCATCCACCACCAATGTGCAGCATCCACCTGGATGATGCGACGGCAGCCATAGTGCGCCAGAACGCCCACCACACACCAGCTTACTGGTGGAGAGGAGACAGAGTGATGAAGCCAATCAGTAGATATGGGGATTGTTAGGAGGCCATGATGATCAGAGGCCAATGGGCAAATTTGGCCAGGATGCCGAGGTCACACCTCTACTCTTTTCGAAAGACGTCCTGGGATTTTTAATGACCACAGAGAGTCAGGACCTCGGTTCAACGTCTCATCCGAAGGACGGTGCTTGTTGACAGTATAGTGTCCCCGTCACTATACTGGGGCGTTAGGACCCACACAGACCACAGGGTGAGCACCCCCTGCTGGCCTCACTAACACCTCTTCCAGCAGCAACCTAGTTTTCCCAGGAGGTCTCCCATCCAGGTACTGACCAGGCTCAGCCCTGCTTAGCTTCAGTGGGTAACCAGTCTTGGGCTACAGGGTGATATGGCTGCCGGTGTGTCTGTCCAGCAATGAAGTGTCTGTCCCATTTAAGATGCCAAAATACCTAAAAGTGTCATTTACTCACCTTCATCTCGTTCCTTTCTTCTCTTTTTCCCCCCACTATGAAGAACATGCCAAAAACACACCAAATTGATCACTTTGTCTAAATTGATGAATATAGTGTGCTATTGTTCTTTAACTTATATTTGATCAGCACTAAATAAAGCAGTAAATTATGTCTAAATATTTTGATCTAATCACTAAATACATTCACTAATGTGTTCTCAGTGTGTGCTGACATTCTTATGCATTTGGATACTTTTGTTCATTGTTATTGAATGTGATTTATCCAAGACATGTTCACTTTAACACGCAAACTGCTTTAATAAAACAGGAGCAATTTTAAATAAACAATTAAAGGTATTTTAATCATGTTAATTAATAATTAATAATTATACACAATTCTTCAACCAAGTAGTACAGTTCATTAGCCTAACTTGAATGCAACAAATTATATTATATTCTGCAAAGTTCAAGTAAAAATATACAGTAAGTTCACATATTATAGCACCACCTTATGGCCAGCTATCAAATAATTTGAATGATGATGATGATTGTCTATTTACTACTGAAATCAAAATAAAAAATGAAATAAAGGTGGTTAAAATATGATCCCACAGATAAAACCTGTAAATAATTAATTAAAAAATGTAGATGATACAGTATTATTCTTATTACACAGTGTATGTGTAAATTATGTTGTTGTTTGTGTGTAAATCTATTCATGCTTAATATTAATATTTTTTAATGTACTATGTTGCTGAATGACAGAAAAATTTCAAAGGTACATGGCCCACTGGTTTCACAAACCCCATAATAATATATACAATCCCCCATGAATAATAGTTTGTTAAAACCATATATGTACAGGGAAGCAAAAATCAACAATAGCCTAATAAACTAAATATTATAACAAGGTCCTTTAGATGCACATCATCTCCAATTTTTTTGTGCTGTAATACTCTGACCTTTCACTGTACTCTATGAAGGAATGATGAGTTCCACATGCTTTTAAGTGTCATCAGGAGATAAGTGGAAACATCTCCATCTATCCATAGAGATCATCATCATCATCAGACATGTACCTGTAACCATCATACGTCCGATCATTGCGATACCTGCAATCATATTTTTAGGAGTAAGCTTTAACATAGAAAATAAGAAATAAGAATAAGAAATAGTTGCTAAATCAGAAGAAATGTGCATGTATGCTAACTGTTGTTTAATAACAATGAATATACTTACTTAAAGCTGACAAATGGCTCTAAAATATGAGCCACATTCACACAAGCTGCTGTAAAACAGCTGATATACACACAGCTATATACCCATACCATATTAAGCTTTTATTTACAACATAAAATAATTTAGTAGATGCTAAATCAAATAATAAATGCAAATATGCATGCATTATATCTGAATACACCTACGTCTTGGGCCATACTGCTTTCCCTGTTTTACAGAAATCTGAAATCAGGGGAGAAAAGTTAAACAAGCATGTTTCAGTGGGTAAAGAGTGCAAACACGAATTAAGTGATAAAATTATGTATAATCTGCGTCTCTTTGAGTTCCTACGTTTTTTTCTTCCCTTACACACTGTTAAATGAATAAAAATGTATCCATTTTTGTATACATTTTCTTCTACAGCTTTTTCCCGTTATGATCATAGAATCTTCAAAGTAGGCTGTTTTGACTTACTGTGGACAAATAAACAACCACCAAATAACGTCTCAGTTACGTACGTAACCCTTGTTCCCTGATGGATGGAACGGAGACGTTATGTCGAACGACATATGGGGTCTCACTTGGGAGCCCAATCATCTCTGAGTTTAAGAGAAAACGCCAATGAGAATTGGCTAGTGGATTTTGCATGCTGAGCCACTCCCCGTGCACACGGGTATATAAGGCGACAGCGTGCATCCACTCATTAGGTTTTACGCTGAGGAGCCGAGAACGTGTCCCAGCAACAGCGAATAGTCGAATGACAAAAGGGGTCTATGGAAAACGCCACAACCTGGAGCAACTGCCAGAAGAGACTGACAGAGCGGATCTGTCAAGGGAAGACACAGGTTTACCGAGAGGGAAACCTTACCGTGGAAGAAAACACATATGGGATTACCCGTAGGGAATCAAGACATATGGACACCTAGCCCAGTACAGGGGCTGACCGGGACTCCGGGCATGCTAACACCAGTACTGTGCCTGGCGTCAGACTGCTCCACCAAGTCTGAATGCCGGGGGTGCTGGAGGATGCTCGACCAGGGTTCGCCAAACGGGGAACTTTACTGGGAGAAGAAAGGTGGTCGCATCCCCGTGTGAGGGGGAATGGCGCAGTAAGCGTGACACCGAGCCAGATCTTCCTGACAATTACCGGTTACCCAACACACGGGAAGAAACTGGCTCTACACGAAGGTTGTAAAACCTCGCGAAGATGTTAGGTGTTGCCCAGCCCCCAGCTCGACAGATGTCTGCCAGAGAGGCGCCAGCGCCCAGGTGGAGGTAACGCTCTGAGTGGAGTGGGCTCTCACCCTCAGGGGGCACGGCTCGCCTTGGGATTGGTACGCCAAGGAGATGGCATCCACTATCCAGTGGGCCAATCTCTGCTTGGAGACAGCCTTCCCTTTCTGCTGACCTCCAAAGCAGACAAGGAGCTGCTCAGAGCTTCTGAAGCTCTGGGTGCGGTCCACGTATATGTGTAATGCTCTTACGGGACACAGCAACGCCAAGGCTGGATCTGCCTCCTCCGGGGGCAGCGCTTGCAGGTTCACCACCTGATCTCGGAAGGGTGTGGTATTCCTTGGGCCTTGGGCATGTATCCAGGCCGGGATCTCAGGACAACGTGAGAGTAGGCCAGCCCGAACACAAGGCAGTCTTCACTTACCGAAAATGCTTGGAGGTCCCTGATCCTCTTGATGGAAGTGAGTGCAATCAGGAACGCTGTCTTGAGAGACAGGAACTTCAGCTCAACTGAATCAAGCGGCTCAAAGGGACCCTTCTGAAGTCCAGCCAGGACAACAGAGAGATCCCAGGAGGGTATCAGGAGTGTCCTAGGAGGATTCCACCTTCTGGCACCCCTCAGGAACCTAACGATCAGGACATGCTTCCCCAGGGACCGGCCATCCACTGCATTGTGATGTGCTGTGATAGCAGCAACATACACTTTCAAGGTGGAGGGTGACAGCCTACACTCCAAGCTTTCTTGCAGGAAAGAAAGCACGACTCCAATCGAGCATCTCCGGGTGTCTTCTCGGTGAGAAGAACACCAATTCGTGAACAGACTCCACTTCAAAGCATAGGCCTGCCTCGTAGAAGGAGCTCTAGCCTGAGTGATAGTGCCTACCACCGCTGGTGGCAGATCACTTAGGTCTGCCGCGTCCCGTCCAGAAGCCACACGTGGAGGTTCCAGAGATCTGGACACGGGTGCCATATGGTGCCCAGCCCCTGTGAAAGGAGGTCCTTCCTCAGGGGGATGCGCAAGGGAGGGGCTGTCATGAGGAGCATGACTTCCGAAAACCAGGTCCGGGTGGGCCAGAAATGCACAACCAACAGGACCTGTTCCTCATCCTCCCTGACCTTGCACAGTGTCTGTGGGAGCAGGCTCACTGGGGAAAACGCATACTTGCGTACAGCCCGAGGCCAGCTGTGTGCCCGTGCATCCGTGCCCAGGGGGGCCTGGGTCAGGGAGTAGAGAGCATGTGATTGAACTCCCCCGGAATGTGGACAGCGCGCAGGTACTTGAGCCACGTCTGACTCCAGAGACTCCAGAGGCAGGCGAGTTGACATGCGACGTGATCGTAGACCACCCTGTCAGTTGATGTACCAGCAGCCTTGTCCAGCAGCAGATGACTTTTCCAGCAGCAGCGGCCGGAACTGCCGCAAGGCA